GTGCGCTGCCTCTATAAGAGCTCGCTGCAAACAAAGGCTGAAAGCTGTTTCTGCTCTTTACCTTTTTTTGTAAAACCATGTCTTTTGGTCAGCAAAAACATACTAATGTAGGTCTTGTAAGTGAAGTGGCATAATGCAAACTTTTTGAAAAGTGAACTTTCAAAAAGCAAGGGATACCTGTATAAAAAGAAATAGTTGAATTTAGATCGTTACAGTTTTTCCTATTTCTTTATCTTTTTTCTTTTTAAAAAGTTTTTATTATTTTTTTAGTGTCTTTCTTTTAACAGTGTATTGAGATCAGGAAGCATATTGGTTGATTACCATTTGTTTTCTATGTAAAATACATAAAACTTTTTATGAATGTATAACTGCATTCGTAATTGTTACTCTGGTAGTGCCAACTTTTTTACTTTTTTAGGTAACATCATGGCTCACAAATTCTTAAATAAGCAAAAAATTGCTTCTCAATAGCATGAATTTATATACCATGAGTGACCTCTAATAGCACGATTTTATATTCTTTGAGCATTATGTTCGCCTCCAACTTTATGGCTGTTATACAGTCTTTTCTGCAGAGGTGTGATTGGGTACTTGTGTACTGATGTGAGGAGTGTAGTGTTGAATGATACCTATTTTGTTTTGATTTCCACCCTTTAGTGTCTACATCCCACAATTTTGTGCTGGCATCAGGTTTGTTCAGAAAAAACTCAGTTGGTTTATGGCAGAATTCACTTGCTTTGTTTGAGAATTTCAAAATTTTCGTGGCCTCGTACCACTTTTTGATAAAGTTTCATAACTGTGGTCTAGACGCAAAGAGGTCATTCTCCTCACATCAAAATGTAAGCTGTTTGCTTATGCTGTGATAAGGAGGTATGCCAATGTGGAGGCCATAGTGATCCAAGGACAACATTTTAAGAAACAGTGACTTAGGATACACTAGTAATCACTATAAACATTTTTATGTGTGTATTCGTGACTTCTTACTATGAGTCTGTATGGGTCTATGTCTCTTCTCTATATACCTATTAATTTTTGAGCAGATTAAACCCTAATATGTCTACTGTTTGTTTCTTGTTTTTTTTTTTCATTGAATGCATCTTGGATCTCTTCCTATCAATAAATGTAGGTTTGAAGTATTGTTTTTAAAACAATAATATTCCATTAAATGAAAATACTATAATTTATTTATTTTACTATTTTCTTTAATCTTTTTTTTTAAAAAGCTTATTTATTTTGAGACAGAGAGTGTGCGCACACACACAACTAGGGGAGGGGCAGAGAGAGAGGGAGAGAGAATCCTAAGCAGGCTCCCCACTGTCAGCGCAGAGCCCGATGTGGGGCTTGATCTCTCAAACCATGATATCATATGGTACCCACTCTCTCACCTGTGTCTGGTATCCCCTGTTTAAGAGAGTGTGTTTACTTTTTGCAGAGAATAAACTGCTGCTGTGGTGGGGAAATAGCAGTTACCTAGCCTGGAGTGAGAAAGGGAATCTTGGCATCGAACAAGAACTCAAGCAGCTTTCTCCAAATTTCTCTTTGTTTTAGCTTTCTCCTCCCTTCCTCCCATTTCATAGTTACTTTGTACTGCCAGTTCCTAAGCCTTTCAAAGATTCAGAGTGTAAAATAGGTTAGTTCTTAGCTTTCGCCACTGTCTGTCTGGGATTTAGTTTTCTTGGGTCTGCAGGGTCATTTACTAATTTTTCTGCTTTCCAGCATTTAGGAAGTTGTTGCTATTGTCATACTTCCTGTTTCCTATTAATTTTTCTTTAAGGACTCCTTACCCTATTTGTCATGTTGTGAATGTTCCCCTCCTCTAGTTTTTTTTCTTTTCTTAACTATTACAAAATATTTACTTTTATTTCTATTTTGTAGATTTTGTTCTTGACAGATATTTCTTCTATAACACATTATTCCTTTCTTTTAGTCCTTGTTTTTCTGATTGAAATTTGATTTTGCTGAAGTATTTACTTGAAACTTTATTCCAGAAAGAGTACATGTATAGCGTATTCTCTAAATCATTTTGCACATCTAAAATTGTGCTTTTCCCTCATGCATTTTCCTAGGTATAGAATTAATTCTTTGGTTAATCAGTTTTCCTCAGAACTCTATATATTCTAACATTTAGAATTGTGACTAAAATGTCTGATTAATATTAATTTCTGCTTAAAGTTGGCATTGTTGATGAAAAATCAGATACCTTTTTAGATAATTCTCCCTCTACCTTTTTTTTTGTAGCATTTCATTTTTTCTTTTTAAACTCTTTTGTAGCATTTCATTTTTTCTTTTTAAACTCAAAAATTTGACTAGGATAAGTTGTAAACATTGAGGTTTATATTCTCTTCTCACTAATCTTGCTTGGCTTTTGAGGAACTTTTGATTTTGAAAATTCAGGTCTTTAAAAAAAAAAACAACCCAAAACTCAAGATTTTTTTCTTGTTTTCAAAATCATTATTTCTCTGCTATCTGCTACTTTTTTCTCTCCTTCATGACAATATGCTCTTAGTTTTCTTTTTTTAGTATATCATCTCAGGTCTTGCTAAAATTGCCAATTACTACTTGATTCTTTCCCTCTAAGCCTTTTTTTTCCTGCAGTAGTGGGTTTCATGTAGTTACTATTTTTCATTGCCGAATGGGGGAATGAGGAAGGGTTTCTCAGTGCTCAGTTGTTTTCTCTTTGTTGAGCTGTTTCAGCTAGTGATGTTTCTGCCTACTCCCCCCCCCCCCCTTTTTTTTTTTTTTTTTTTTTTGAGAGAGAGAGAATCTTAAGCAGGCTCCACACTCAGTGCAGAGCCGACATGGGGCTTGATCCCACAACCCCAGGATGGTGACCTGAGCCAAAATCAAGAGTCGGATGCTCACCCAACTTAAGCACCCAGGTGTCCAGAGATGAATTCTTTAAGAATGAACCAATTTTTTTTTTTCAGTTTTTTAGTTAAAAGGAGGTGAAAAGCTAATGTAATTTTTTCCTGACAGCTTAGAGATAATTTACTTATGTCGATAAAGGACAGAACTGTTAAACAGAGGAAGATTTATCTTTGTTCAGAAATAATTTTCTCTTTGTATCTTTCTTAACAGCTGGTGCTAGCAACTCCCAGCTCGGCCGCTGGACCTAGCTCAAAACTCTGGATTCATTCTCTTCCTTCCCGTACCTCAGCCCGAGCTTTCTGTCTCCCCAAAGGGTACCACATGATCTTCCTCTCGAGTCCTCACTTCCTCGAATCCCAAGGTATGTAGGGAAGGAGTAGGCTGAATTATGTCCTTTACTTTCTTACGGCATAATAGATGCTTATTATATGTTAGTTAAATGCATGTCCCCTAGTGAAATTCTTCCTTGAGAGTGGTGCTTGGCAGTGAATTAGCATTTGTATTCACTCTCCTCTCTCTGGACTCTATCTTAGCAAACACGTTGCAGTATGTGTATGGAATCTTTTTCTAGTTTCTTGTCATTTTGTAGGTCTTTATTGTATTTTTTGGTTTGTGTTTCAGTGGGCAGTTGGAAGAAGGAAATCAAACGGCTTAAGTTGCCACCTTGATGCAGGAAACTCTCCAGGTTACTTGAAAGGGCCAGGCATACTTTATGCAAATAGTATTATTTCAAGGCTTGATGAGATGTTGGTTAAGTCTTATGAGGTAGTAATATGTAGAGAGAGGACAGTAGTTTCAATGGCAGATTTAAAATCAGTAATCTTTTTGGTAAGGTAAAGATTGAACTGTAGTGAAAAGAGCATTAGCTAGTAGGTTGGAAGATTATAATTCCTCATTCTTTTTTTTATGTTTTCTGATGTGTTCACAACACAATACATTTTTTTGCCCATAGGCGGTAACCATATTGTAATTTGTTACCAGGTGTTGTCTTTGATTGCTTCCGCATACTTAGGTTGAACATAGTTGAAGACAAATAGATTTTCCCCATTTCAAATTTGAGGGTGAAAAACCCCAAACTACCTAAAATACACAAACCCCCCCCAATGCTGTATTGTACATGCCATACATTAAATATAAAAAAATATTGATACTCAGTATTGATTACTTAGCAGTTACTAAACTTTAGTAAAAGCTAAGTGGATTTCTTAATAAGGTGGTCCCTTTTATTAATTGTTTTGCCTATGAGGAAAGGACGTGCACTTTAATGGATGGAATTTGTGAACTCTGTTTTGGCTGCCATGTATCCCACTTAATTATTTTCTATTCTTTGTGTCCTGGAACGGTGAGGTTGCTGAAATGTCAACTCTGAACAAGCAATGTATTAATGTATATGTCCTGCCTCTTCCTTTAGACTGTAAGCTGCAGTAGGGTAGAGACCATGTTTTTGACTCTTTCCATAGCACCCAGCAAAATGCCTCACAATCACAGTTGTTATTTATTAGTAAGTTTTGGTTGGTTGACTTGTTTAAAATCCTATTTTTAAACTGGTTGCCAGACTCTGGAGTATGTGTTATGTTATAAGAAAAATTTTAAATTGTACAGATATTTTGAAATGGAATTGATGATATTTAGAAATCCTATCAATCTATTTTTAGCATTACCTATATATTTTTGGACACATGTACTGTTACCACAAGAAACAATTTGTCTTTTATAATAAAACCCACGATATAGTCTCTCTTGATTACATGTATAATAGAAAGGCTTGAGTATGGATGGTCCAGAGTGACCATAATATGATATTTAGGCAAATGGGGAAGAACCATTATAGGTGTTCTTAAAAGTTTCACATGTTTGAATCTCACCCTCAGATTCTGGTATGGGGAAAACTCCATAGGTGATTATGATGCTGGTCACTGTTGAGAATGTGACAGTCTGCAGGGAATCTTCTCAGTTGGTGTGGAGTATCCACCAGGTGTCGTGAACTTTCTTCCGGCCATTTGTTAGTTTTTCTTACTTTCGAAGGAAAAGTTTTTACATTTAGCTTTAAATAATATAGTAAATTTTTAGTGAAAATTTTAATAATTTACTGAGTTAGACACAGTCTGTAAAAACATTTAGGAAACCAGTGTGTGCTTTGGCAGCACTTATACTAAAGTTGGAACAATACAGAGAAGATCAGCATGGCCGCTGCGCAAGGATGACATGCAGATTCGTGAAGCGTTCCGTGTTTTGTGCAGTTCCTGAGTGTCCTACCACCCACGGCAGATTAACTCTGAGGAAATGATATGAGTCAGAGGATGGTGTGTAGCACTGAATAGTGAAATTCTGATTTTTCACTATTAAAAAAAAATTCAGTAGACTGGTACCCTACTAATGAATTATCAGTTTAGTATTTATATATTTGAGACTACTAAAGAATGTGTTTTTTAGACCCAACCAAAATTACTAAGTGTGAGAAATATTAAGAGTCTCTTAATATGTAATGTGATGTAACTTTTATCTATGGTTTCTTAATAAAGGACTTCTGAAATAGTAATGTTTCTTGTTACTTAGATTAATTGAAAACATTTTTAAAGTTTTTATTTATTTGATCTCTCTGCCCAATGTGAGGCTTGAACTCACAACTTCGAGATCAAGAGTTGCATGCTCTTCCAACTAAATCAGCCAGGTGCCCCTAGATTAATTGAAATTTAAAGCTGAGACCTTTGAATAGACATTATGGGTGAAGCTCAATGTGATTTACACTTTATTTTCTTTAGTTTATCTAGTTTTCTGTTACTCACAATATATATTTAAGATCACAAAAGTAAGAGAAGACAATTTTTCCAGTACACATTTTGCTATTCTGCTGAACCTTCAGTATTCAGATTTCAATCTCACCGATGTATTATCACATCTTACTATTTTACTATTTTTTATTCCTTTGCAGTTTGACTCATAATGTGTCATTCCATGGTCATCACAGTAGTGATAGCTACAATTTATATAGCACTTTACAGGATACCGTTACATATATTTTCTTATTTAATCTTTACAACACCCTGTGAAAGGGGAAGTGCTAATTTTTCTTTTTCACTTTATAGATGAAGAAACGAAGACAGAGATTGAGACTTGTCTAGAGTAACACAAACCAGTAAGTGTTGGAGTTAATGGAGGCAGGTAGTAATGGGTGCCTTCTCCTATGCCAGGGGCTTTCCTTGCTGCCATGTACCTGGGTTCTAGGGACAAAGAGCCAAGATGGTCAGGAACCAAAAAGGTAGTAGGTGGACTTAATCGTACCCCAGCAAAATGTGTTATTCCTTCTCATTTCTCTCTCTCTCTCTCTCTTTTTTTTTTTTTTTTACACCATTTAGTAGTGATAACTTGAAAGAGCACATAATATCTTTTTGTTTTTGTTAGATAAGTGAAACTTATTTTAAACGTAAGTTATCCCTGAGGCACTAAGGAAGTAGAAAATCTGGAGGGAAGTCTGTTGAATTTCTCATAGGGTAATAGCTATAGGGTCAGCTAAGGAAGGGAGAAAGTTACTAGTACATGTGTGTAATTGGAACTGAAGTTTTTATGGCTCTCATTAAGATTTTTCAAATCCTGTTTAAAGACTGTAATATCAATTTCATATAGCAATCTTAGAGCTTAAGGGTGCTTATCCAGTTGTGGTTTTCTTTAGATGACAGAACCGAGGTGCAGAGAAGTCGAAGCCTGCCTGGTGTCCCAGAGAGTGGCTGCAGGTAGAGCTTGTAGCTGCTGACTTCCTGCTTAGCGCCATCTCTGTTTCCAACTCTTACCTCTTGGTAAGCTGTCCTCGAACTGCTCCACAATTTTTTTCCATCTCTTTTTATGTGTTTGATCGACATTGGCATTTTGTATCAAAATGAACTTTAAAATTAATGAAAATTACTGATGCTTACGTGATGAAAATTCAATTCTTTGTTTGATTTCAGGTGAGTTAATGTGGGAAAAATCCTCGTATTTTGAAGATGTCTTGCAACAGTATTGTTTCCTGTTTAAGTTACAAGTAACTTCAGTTTTTAGAGAAAAAAGAAATTGGGGTTTTTTGTTAAATCATGCCATCTGAACAGAAACAGTTATTTTTTGATGAAAAACAAACTATTTTAAAAAAAGATTATGATGTGAAAAATGAGATAGTTGATACTATTAGATCAGTGCTTAGGCCAAAAATTTCAGAAAGTCGTTTTCATTATGAACTAAAAAATGTGAAAATCGATTTGCCGAAGATAAATATTCCAAATGAAGTCTTTTTGAAACATGAAGTTGACAAATACAGAAAGTTATTTCAGCGTCAACCACAGACTGCAAGAAAATCTATCAGTATAAAGACTGTAAGCTGTGTAGAGGAGTGTATGCTGCTCCAGAAGTCTGAGAGAGTTGAAGAAGAGGGTTTAAAAATGTCGGCAAAAATACTCAATTTCAACTGTTTAAAATGCCGAGATAGCACTCGATATAGCCCAAATGATTTACAGAAACACTTTCAGATGTGGCACCGTGGTGAATTACCTTCATATCCTTGTGAAATGTGCAGTTTTTCAGCAAATGACTTCCAGATATTTAAACAACACAGACGGACACACAGAAGCACTTTAGTAAAATGTGACATTTGTAACAATGAGAGTGTGTATACTTTATTAGACTTGACAAAGCATTTTACATCCACACATTGTGTAAATGGTAATTTTCAATGTGAAAAGTGCAAATTCTCCACCCAGGATGTTGGCACATTTGTTCAGCACATTCATAGACATAATGAAATCCATTATAAATGTGGTAAATGCCATCATATATGTTTTACCAAAGGAGAGCTTCAGAAGCACCTTCACATTCATTCTGGTACATTTCCCTTCACTTGTCAATATTGTAGCTATGGTGCCACTAAGAGAGAGCACCTCGTAAGACATGTTATAACTTTGCACAAAGAACACTTATATGCAAAAGAGAAACTGGAAAAAGACAAATATGAAAAAAGGATGACAAAGACTTCAGGACTTAAGCTGATACTGAAAAGATACAGAATAGATGCATCAAGGAAGACATTCTGGAAACGCAAGAAGATCAACAATGGAAGCGACCGAAGTATAGAAAAAAACACTCAAGTGCTAAAAAAACTGAACAAAACACAGGCTAAATCTGAAGACCAGAGCCATCTTGTTCAAGAACATTTAAATGAAGAAAAGGACGAAAGACCACACTGTGAGAATAACGATAAACCTGCTGAGTTAGGGTCAGAAAAGCCAACTCTTCTGTCCACTGGGCAATATAATAGAGCCGAAGAGGGATCACATTCGACTCTAGGTTTCTTGAAGACCGCTGTACAAGGACCTACAGTGTTGATGGTGAAAAATAATAGAATAACAATTCCTGCTAACTACAGTGCTGATTTTATGGGTTTTAAGATGGTGGATGGAAAACAACATATTGTAATAAAATTGTTGCCTACCAGTAAACAGAATTTATATTCACCAGGCTCACAGCCAGATGCTGCAAAGGATGGTACTGGCAATTTGCAGCCCCAGACACTGGACACTACTGGATTTTTAGCAGGAGTAACAACTGAGTTAAGTGACACCGTTTACATGAAAGCAACTACTCCATTTTCGTGCTCATCTCCTCTACTTTCAGGGAAAGTCCTATCAGAAAAAGAAATGGCTTTGCTATCTCAAACGGGTAATATGCTTCAAACAGTGGATGATGAAAAAAGTGTGTCGTCTTTGTCAGCATCAGGATTGGTTACAGCATCAGTGAATTTGGCCACAAAAGTTGAAACAAAAGATAATATTGACTTATGGGGAAGTTACATTCCTCAGAGTCACCCTGAGATACCAGGTGCTGCCATTAGAAGTCCAGATAAAGTCAACTCTGCTACCAAACAAAATGCATACAACAGCGGAGATATGCATAACTATTGCATTAATTATGTCAGCTCTGAGTTACCTGTTGAATCTTCCAACCACGGATCATTACCCTTTCATAATTACTCAAAAGTAAATAATTCTAATAAACGTCGTAGGTTTTCAGGAACAGCGGTGTCTGAAAAAGAACCCTCATCAAGCAAAACGGTTGTTCAACAACCAATAAGTGAATCGGTTTTATCTTTGGTGCGAAAGGAGAGCTCAAATCCAGATAGCATGTTAGCATCTCTTAGCCTGTTAAATACTAAAGATGGAACTTTAAAAATGCAAGCTGAAATTGAAGAACAATGTGTGTTAGAAAAAGGACAAAACATTGACGGACAGAACTTCTACACTAATGAAAATCAAAATTTAGAGACTATGACTGAAAAATCTAAGTGGGATGACATTTCTAATGTTGAGTCACCTATGATGCCTAGAATCACATCTGTTTTCTCTCTCCACAGCCAACAGGCATCAGAATTTTTGCCCCCTGAAGTAAACCAGTTACTTCAGGATGGGTTAAAAACAAAATCTGACGTAAAACAGGACTCTAGTAAGACTCCAGATAAAGGCCTGCCACTTCATTGTGACCAGTCATTTCAGAAACCTGAGGGAGAAGGCAAAATAGTTGAATCTTCAAAAGACTTCAAAGTACAAGGCGTCTTCCCAATTCCATCTGGTGGTATAGGGATTAATGTGCCTATAAATGATCTGAATTTAAAGTGTAGTGGAAAAGAAAAACAAAATCTGTCAATATCACAAGATGTGAGAGATTCAGAAAAGGCACCTAGAATTTCAGGTATTGGCACATTACTTAAGACTCAGTCAGATGCAATAATAACACAGCAGCTCGTAAAAGATAAACTGCGAGCCACTACACAAAATTTAGGTTCTTTATATAGGCAGAGTCCACTTCTAAATTCAGAACCAAAAAAAGCTATATTTGTTCAGACTCCAAAAGGCTTTTTTGTACCACTGCACATTGCTAACAAGCCTGGATTACATGTTGTTTCAGGAAGACCACTTCCATTGGTTAACACACAAGGTGTACCTGCTTCTCTTCTTTTAAACAAGAAACCCGGGATGATTTTAACATTTAATCATGGGAAACTTGAAGGTGTTTCCACTGTCAAAACTGAGAGTGCTCAAGCTTGTGGAACTACAGCTAAGGAGCCTTGCAGAACACCTTTTTTAAAGGTGGAACCAAACAGTAATTGTCTGACACCTGCACTATGTTCCAGCATTGGCAGTTGCTTGAGCATGAAAAGTAGTTCCGAAAATACTCTGCCGTTAAAAGGCCCGTACATTATTAAAACGTCAGCAAGT